AATAAATAAATAAATAAATAAATAAATAAATAAATAAATAAATAAATTTTAAAATCTGTTAGATAAACTACTACCAGCAAAGGGAAGATGTAAATTAAATTGAAAAAAAAAGTTACAACTTGACAAGTTGAAATCGTGTTCAGATTCCCTATGATGAAAGCTTTGCATTTAAACAGCACTGAAAACATGTTTCCTTATGTGTGTGCAGACAACAGGAAAGAAGAAAAACCTAAGCAAAGAAAAATAATGTGCAGTGGCTAAAGATCTGGGAACATACGGAATCAATCCCAAGGTAAAACTGCTACCCGTTTAGATCGTCAGAGCAGGGAATGAGCGGCCTTCTGCTTCCCAAGGAGATGGCTTTTTACATCTGCGATTTAAATAAACCACTTCAGCACACGAAGGAAGAGCAGCAGACCTCTTCTCAATAATGAGCCCTGCCTGGCCCCCATGAGCTGCTTTCTCTTTAAAACCTCACTACTTCATTACTCTGCCTTTAACTCTCTAAATGATTCATTCTCGCCTTCTCCTGAGCACACGCTGCAGGGAAGCTAGTTTTTAGGTTAAATTTCTAGTGCCACTTGCTCTGGAGAGCTTGATGAGGGGAGGCAGGAGAGATCTAATTTAATAAATTCACCGCGATATAGAAAGGTACACTGCAGCCCCCCAACCCAAAACTAACTAGACGCACAAGTCCCTCTGACAAACTATAATCTGAGAAAAGCCATTAATTAGGAAAGCAGAGTCCACGTGTGGTAAGAGGTATCACCCAAGTGGCAGCCGGTTCCACTCAGGGAGGGCGGGAGAGACTGACGGATGCTTGCAGCTGCACCGGCCTAGGCGCTCCGGGGAGAGCCTGGTTGCCTCGGTCTGGAGCTTAGCTCTTGCCCAGATATTGACTAGGCTGGGGAACGATTAAAGGCAGAAGGGCTAGTCCGACACCCTCACCCTGGGGAGGTGTCTCAGCGAGAGGGACAACTAGCGTGCACGCTGCAGCCGTTCCCAGCCCCAGCCCGCGCCTCCACGCTCTGCCTGGTCCAGCACCCCTCGCCTTACCGTCCCAGCTCTGACTCCACCTCGAAGAAATCGCTCAGGGGATCCCGGTTAGAGCCGTCGATCCAGTAATCCGGGACGAGGTTCTCAGTACTGGCGGTGACCGAGGAGCGGGACGAGGAGGGACAGGAGGGCACCGTGACTTTGAGCATCTTCGCCGCGGGACTCCAGAAGACGCCGCCGCTGCCCGAGCTGGAGCCGCCGGCCGCCGCCTGCAACACGGGAGCGAGAGGAGGCGTCCTTCAGCGCGCACACGCCCACCGCCGCGCCGGGCTGTGGCTCGCCTCCGCGCTCGGGAGCGAGGGCGGGCAGAGATGCTGAGACCGTGAGCAGGGGAACCCGGAGCCACCGCCAGCCGGCAGAGACCAGGCTGGGAACCGCAGAGCTCAGGCGCCCTCCCCCTCTCTCCCGCCGCCCCACCTCCGCGCCTCCCTCCCTCCCGCCTGCCCTGCCAGCCCCCTCCCTGTGCTCCTCTCCCTTCCAGGCTGAGGCTGCCGCAGGGCCACCTAAAGCGTTTGCCAATACAGGAGCCTGGGGAAGCCACTAGGACCCGGGCGTGCATCTTCCTCCTCGCCCTCAGCAGGAGCCTGCAGCCTAAAAGGAGACCTCTCAGTCTGAGGCGAGCTCCAAGTGCGTGGTGAGAAAGAGACCTGGTCATTGTTGGCGCAACTCATGTTTCCTGGAGCGAGGCTCGAAGCAGTCTCTTCCACCTTGCACCAGCTAACCAGTCACCCCTTGTTGGTCCCTATGTCAAAGCTTATATGGATGATAGAGGAGGGTGTCCTGTGGTTGCCAGCTCCTGGCAGGCTGCCTTCTGCTGGAACTCAGTGCACACCAGAGGAGAGGAAAGGGCCTAGGTCCATGCTGACCTGACTCACCTTTGATTGAAGTCTTCAATTTGTCATCGCTGCTGGTGGCCCTGTCGCCTCTGGCTCTGCCGGAGCTCCTAAAAGGGCACACACTTGGCTGTGTCTAGTTCAATTTCAATATCTGAAGGCCAGCAGCTGAAAGGGCTCAGAGAAAGACTCCAGAGAAACAACTAGGCAAACATGCCTCAAGCAGGACCTGTCACTATTCTTGACAGAGAAGGTTGCTACAGTTAAGCCTTTTCTTCCCGTGAGCTGTACCCCATCATAAGCGTTCTAATGTCCATTCATCAACTGCCATGGCGATTTTAAGTACTGGCTGAATTAGATAACTTTGGGCTTTATTTCTTCTAGGATTCCAGCAAAGATAAACAATTAGTCATTACATTGTAAAGTGTGTGTGTGTGTGTGTGTGTGTGTGTGTGCTCGAGTGGCAGTTACTACATCATAATATAAAGCATAAAGATAGTTATTGTATTACATCTGATTTTCAGCTAAATGACTCTAGACTATTTATCCATCTAACATTACAGAGATATTAGGGTGGGGTTTTTTTCCTACCTTTTCTCCAATATGCGCTGAACTATTCCCAGCAAATCTCCATTCCTGAAAGCATCAGTTATAAGAATGTTCCAATATTTTCCTCTCATTGTTTCGATAGTACTTATAATACTGGTGAACTCTCCACCACCAAGACGAAACAATCCGATTGTCATCGGAAGTGAGAATATAAATTTTAATAAAAAAAAAAAACTATTCCTTGAAGGTGATGATGGTGAGCAAATGCTAGAAATACAATGCTCCACAAGTGGCAAATGTATGTAAGATTCTCTCAAGGTCCTGTATATACTGGATATTTGATGAGAGACTAAAAATGCATTGCTTTTCAGTGAATACATTCACTAATCTTCACGTTAAAATATCAAGCTCATAAACAAACCAAGACTATAATTGTCTAAATCCTGCTCTCACAAAGTTTCCCTTAGCTGGCAGTGCTGGTTGGGAAGAGAGACATAAAGTAGCTGTTAGGCTATTCGAAATCACAGCTCTTTGAAGCAAGCCCCTCAGAAGCAGCAATGGCTGTAAACATGTGTCTGTTGTATATTATTTAACAGCCTGGTCTACAGCAAGCACACACACTTGGAGAGATGGTGACTCCATCATTTTCTTGCCATTTTCAAAGACAATGGTTGGGAAAAGAGCCCATGTGTAGTACAGAGGTGACCATAGAAATTATATTTACTTTTGGTACAAGATTGGTCATTTGATAGGTATTCACTTCACAAAGGACTTCTAGGAAATGCAACAAATGAAGGTTTAACGAGATACATCACCATCATCGTCATCATCCCCATGATTGCAGTTTCGATACCAGTGTTTTCAATTAGCTACAGTAAACTGGAGTGGAAGTATTAGGTGGAAAATTCCAGAGATGAACAGTTCCCTACTCTATTAGACGGCACAGAGAACTTTGATAGCCTATTCTGGCCTAAACAAGAGATAAGTCACTCTTCTGCCCAATGCATCCCCCTTGTATATGCTAGTCTCCTGAGTCTGTTACGAGCCATCACAGATCATCGTAGGTTGTATGGGAAAAGGAGAGTTTATGTGGAGTGCACAGCTACCTGTAGTTTCACACATCCACTGCAAGTCTTGGGATGTATGTCTTGTGGAAGGTAAGGGGGAGGTGATATATTTTGCTTAATCCATGAAGCCTTCTTTCTCATTTTAAACAGATGAATATAAAATATTAGATGTTATTTTAAAGCAACTAAAACAAGGACTAAATACCTGAAATTTATCATTTTTACTAAGTCTTGACTAAAACAAAAAATACACAGAACTATAAATGCATTGAAAAAATACCAGTGTTAACTCAATCTTGAGCATATGAACAAACAGTAACAGACTCAGAAGATTTGGAAGACCTGAAATCCAGACTTGGAATAGGAAAAACTCATAAGAAAAGTCTAACGCTTACCCAGGAGATCAAGAAATGTTTTAGAGCAAGAAACAGAAAACAAGTCATTGGATGGAAGTGTCTAAAGGCATTCTATGGCCCTGAGACATTCTTAGCCATTCCAAACACACCATCCCCAAAGCCTAAAAGAATGCAATAGTAAATGTTGTAAACTCCGTAAATGTTGAACAGTGGTAAATTTTGTTTTAGGTCAGATGCTACAGCTGATGCCATATCCAAAGCGGAAATTAGGTGGAATTCTGGGAAATTAGCAGTATGACATCTGTACTCTCAAAATATACTGACAGTTTATTGTTTTATATCCATCATAGTCCCATCCATATAGACACTGGACAGTTCTTCAATGGAAAATAAACAAGCAGGAGTCACTGGGGAATAAAGCAATAGCTGGTGTGCTGAAAAGAGAGGAGAGAGAGAGAGAGAGAGAGAGAGAGAGAGAGAGAGAGAGAGAGAGAGGAGAGAGAGAGAGAGAGAGAGAGAGAGAGAGAGAGAGAGAGAGAGAGACCTGATTTCTGTCTTCTTACAGTACAAGAGTAAGGGCCTTGCACATCGTGAGTAGTGCTCTACCACTGAGCTACATGGCTGATCCCTGCGATTTCCATGAATTGTCTACTACTGAGTAGATTCATCAGGCACACAAAGGGGCTATTTGCTGTGTCTCTAACACACGAATGGACAGTTTCTCATTCTGATAATGGCAGAGTAGATTGTATAACTCTCTTTTCCTGGACTTCATATAACAGTTATTAAAATGTTCAGAGTAAGAGCCAACTGGGATGGAATGGAAATTATGTCATCCACAGAAGAAATCTTTTGAGTGAATTTCAGTCTTCATATCTTAAAATATCAGACAACAGATAATTCTGCACTAGCCAGATAGTAGAAATAGAAGAAAATTGCAGAAAGGACGGACCACCATGGAGAAATTCACAACCATGCATAATCTGTACTAAAAGAATAGGCTAAATTCTTATGGTGTGGAAATGGATGCTAAATTTCAATAAAACCAGAATAAAGCAATAATCAGACAAGCAAAAAAGCTAAGAAAAACAGTGCATGGTTTGGAGTTAAGTTACACTGATCTGGGCTAGAGAGATAGTTCAGAGGTCAAGAGCCCTGGCTGCTCTTCCAGAGATCCTGGGCTCAATTCCAAGCACCATATGGAAGCTCACAACTGTCTAACTCTAGAGGATCTGACACCCTCACACATACCTCCAGGCAAAACATCAATCTACATAAAATAAATCTTTTTTTTAAGTTACAACAAGTTAAATGTGTGAGTAAAGGAATTAAGAAATAATTTTATATGAATATAACAGAATTTGAATCTGCAGATGACCATCGATAACATCTAGCATATAATTTTTCAAAATTGCTAGACACAAAAACTATAGGAAAATGTGAATTGGAGCTGATAGTAAAATTACACAAATTAATTCTAAGATGATTCATAGCCTGATCCTAAGAAAGATTTAAAACAGAAAATATAAATGTTTGAATAATTAAAATGAAAATAGTTACAATGAGAATAAAGCTGGAGATTCCTACCAGAGAAATGGAAAATAGAATTATTGGAAATTTTAGAACTGATAATAATCATCTGAATTTTAGAAGTTTCATGAAAGGGGCCTAAAGAAGACTTGCAGTCTACAGAAAGAAGGCTAGGTGGACTTAATAAGAGTCCAGTGCCCAGTGACTAAGATAGAGCTCAGAAAACTTCACCTCCTCATATGCATGTCTGAGTTCCCCTCCCACACTGGGCTGTGGCTGGCCTAGTTACAAAACAGAACGTGGTGGAAGTGCAGGTCACAAAGGCCCAGCAGATGATGTTTTCCTCCCTTTGTTTGCTCATTCTGAAGAGAGGACACTTACAAGCAGACACACGCAAACACCAAGAAAGAGGATCCGACTCTTTAGCTGAGTAAGTGAGCTACACCTGGATTAGATTCCAAACTCAAGTCAAACCATAGGTGACGTCAGCCATAGCAGACATCTGTCTATAGATTCATGGGAGAACTGAGCCAAAGAATTCAATGAGATAGTTGATCATTCAAGATAATTCTGTGTACACAGAAATCATGAGACAAATGAATACAACAGCTTCAGGTAAGTAGATTTTGGATTAACTTTTGTTCAACAATAAAGAACTAATAAAAAATGGTTATTGCCTAACACAGGAAAAGGAAAGAGAAGATGCAGAAAGAATACACAAGAACCTGGCTGGTGGGACAACACTGTGATTTTTTACTTACAGATGAGACCCATGAAGACATGAGACTAGGATGGGAAACCTATTTGGAAAAACTATAGCCTGAAATTTTCATCAGATTTATTGAAATAACAT